ATATATTTCTTTTTATTGATTAAAAGATTGGTGTAGGTCACCCAATTCTGATTTTTATATATATGGTAGAAAGCTGATATTCCACCAATGTGACGGTGCATGATTATTCTCTGTTCATGTTGTATCGTTATACTGTTTTTTGAAGTATTTACTTATTTCTGTTTTAGCTCATGTTTGTGAAATCAGGAAGCCAAAGCGGCAAGTCAAGTTGCTTTCAGGCTGCAGGCAGGGCAACGTGGGGGTTTGCACGTCACAATAGTTCCAGCAGCAATAACAGGATCACGATGCTTGACACCTCATCCAGAGCCTGTTTAATAACTCACGGCTTTCCTACATCCTGCACAGCTTGACGTATGAAGAACTGAAGATGATGGGTTGTTTTCCTGAACAATCTTGGTGCTCCCACGAGGAATAAGGTCTAATTTGTAGTTCAATAGTTACTATTAAATTCGAAGTGTGGTAATATAAAAAAAAAGTGATTTGTATGTAATCTATATTAATCATAAACTAATAAAACAAATAAAGTGTTTATCTAATATGTAAATATTTGTATTGAAATTGTGAATCCCCCTATTGCCATTTATTTCAATTCTTAATTCGTAATATAGTAAATTCATGCATTCAAGACAATCGATAATCCACTTTTATTCAATATTCTTTTTCAATATATATTAAACCTATGTTTAACACGACCCAATCCTATTCCTAGTCCGAATTCATATGAAAAACATGCATTGAATCACATGATTTATCACACATGATTGCACATGCCATAGATATTATTCCTAATACATATTGTCCATGTGTTGATTTTGCCGCGTTCTAGACTTATTGTGAGTATTCCTACACTACAACAAGCAACTTACTATCTAATTGGTGATCAAGCAATCAAATAGTTCAATGGGAATGCAAAAACAATCAAGAAAAATCAAGAAGTACTAAATTAATTATCTCGAATTAAAACAAATAAGTAACAGGGTTCATCATTCATCCAATACAATGAAAAACTAGCCTAACATGTTTATAATTAAATTACACAAGAATAATTGAAAAAATATCACCCGAAAATAAGAAAGATGGAAGAAGTAGGAAAAATCCACGTTTTTTATGTGAATCTTGAATCCGGATGAAGAATCTTCAATATCCTATGCAATTCGCCTTAATTCCTCGTTGTTAGTCATGTTTTTCGCCTCCAAAATATGTATAATATATAGATTTTTAGGTCTAAGGAGGTTCTCCATATGTATTCTGCTGTTCTCTCTTTATAAGATCTGAAAATTGGTTGAAAATCACGTCCAAATTGGTTTCCAAAAGAGTTTTAATCGAATAAGGAATGTTGCCTTCGCGCGCGGATTTTTTGTCTCTGCATAGCAATCCGTATTTTAGTCATAACTTTCTCTTCTGATATCCGATTGATGCGATTCAAAGTGCGTTGGAAAGATAACTTAAAGGGTTACAACTTTAAATGAAATAGAGTTTTTCCAATTCGGACGTTTACTATGCCAAAAATGGGTCTCAATATTCGGCTAAAAATCTGGAATATATCTTGAGCGATTGAAAATTGATTTTGATAATACTTTGATCATGTTCCATTCCTTTTTGAATTATAATTTCAATCTAATTGTCTCCTAACAATCTTCAAAGTATCTTCTTGAGTATTTGTAATTTGATCCTCGAATTTTGGATTTTACCATTTTTCACCATATTTTGCTTCTTTTCTCCAATTTTTCATCAAATATAAAGTTTTACCTATACAATGCAATATAACATAAATTATGTAAAATTTTGTCAAAAAATCAATAAAATTCTATAGTTTTAAGCCCCGAATAAGTGTAGAAAATACACTTATCAGTGCTGCATTGTTCCCCTTCAAGATAACAACAGAACTCCGTAATCTATTTCAGTACTTAATTATTTCTACTGCAAATATTACGTCAACCTTGCTCGAATTTTGTCATCAGGGAATTTTAAAATAGTAGATCCATTTTCAACTGTATCCAGTATGACAGCATTTGTTTTGGTCAGATAATTCAATTGTGAGGTATAAATTTATGGGTATTCTGGTTGAATCTTCATGTAAGTAGAGGCGTGCTCGGTCTGCATTTTAGGCGGCTGATCATTGTGACTCCATAGGGTACACATTGCCAAGTTAAAGTATGATGCTGAAGGTATATAAGCACTTTGGACACCTTTCATTTACAAACCAAGCCAGTTGTAAATGAGAGTTCTATACATCTTTATCTAAGGAGGAAACTGTGGAGCACTATGTTTAGCAGAGGATTGATTTAGTGAAGTCTTTGAGTCGACTGCTTCCAACCCTTGCGCTCGTCACTTTGATTTCAGGATTAAAAAGAAAAATAGCAATAATTAATCTCATGGAGAATAGGCTAATCATAAGTGAAAGGCTCCACCAAAAATAATACAGCACAATTCGGATGAAGCATGGTCCTCATGGGTCCAAAGCCAAACTTGCTGCATATGCATTATTTCTGAAACTTCAAGCACATGATTAATATAAATACACAACTTTAGCTGAAATGCATGGCCCTGTCAAATGAGTTCCCCACTGAAAAATTTATACTGAAATTTCAAATTTTCCTGGAGGAACACTAATTTTTCCCTTTTTTTGTATAATAATCCCTAAACTTTCATTTTATTACTAGCATGGTGACTCCATCCACTTAGGTTAATAAAATTGAAGAGAACAACCATCATGGCCTTTAAAACTGGTGGAATATTGCTGTGGAAAACTATGGGGCAAAAAAAGTCAAGGGACTAGAAACGATATACGTAAAAAGATAGGTCATTCGATTGGGAAAAAATGTCTAATGGCCCCCAATCAAGTCACCAACTTTCTCGGTATATTAATTTGGTACTATTTCTGAATGTGTATCTCGATTAGAAGTACTCTCTATCACATAAATTGTCAATTGAACATTTTGTTAGTTTTAACAGTAACGTAATAAATTCTCATTAATGAGATGACTAAGCTTCAAATTAAATAGAAATAAATAACTGGTATAAAGTTTAAAAAAAAAAAGTTCATTAATCTACTTATAATTTTGATACAAGTTCATCGACAACTAATGTTTTATACCTATTATTTAAAAGAAAAGTTTGGAGAAATAAGATAGCCAGATTTATTTATTTATTTCATTCAAGGAACTAACATGGGCTATTGTGACCTTCTGTAGCCAATGCCAGCCTACAACTCATTACTGCTACATATGCATATGATCATTAATGGTTGTTACCTTTGAATGTCTAAACGAGTGACTTTTAAATTTTTTATTTTTTCAATCCATCATATTCTACAATGTAACATTTGGAAGGGGCTAAAGGAGGACTGTTCTTGTCATGTTATTTATTGGCGGGGATAGAGAGTCGAGGGAAGGATATTAATTTATTTATTTTTTTCAATGGCTAATACATAAAGAAATAAAATTCTATAGTTATTATTATAGGCCCCTGTACGCAGGGCTTTATCCTAAAAACTAACCCGTAAAAATAAAGATAGTAAGAGTCAAATTGCACACCCTTAAATTGTCAATATCAACCTAGATCTTAGTTGTAAATTTAGAAAAATGTCTAACCCTTCACGTGATGTACATTTAATATCGCATTTACATTTTGCCAAAGCAATCCATGGTTGCAATCTTCTTTTTGACTTGTAATGAAGAATTGATATTAATTATAATTTCAAGTCATGACGGGATTATAATTAGATTTTTAATCAATTTTAATAAAATTTTATGAAATATGTGATTGAAAAGTTATGAATTATATTAAATATGTAATTAAAATTAATTGTTGATTTTGATTTAAGTTAAAATTTAGTTTTTAATTACTATCAAAAAGGAGCCAAAGAAAATATGCCATTGATCTCCATATTAAAGTAGAGAGTTAGTCTATTATAATCATAAAATCAATTCCATACTCCTTTCAAAAATGAGCAAGTTAATACATTATGCCTTCATTTGAGCCGTATATTGTAAAATTTATTTTCCACAAACTCATTTTAATTATATATTTTCTTAATAAAATAATTTTACACGTTAATACAAAAAATTTCTCACTTTTTAACTATATATTTTTCAAAAAAAAAAAAAAAATCACCTTTTACTCAATTTATTCTAAAAAATGGCTCAAAGGAGTCTATATTTCTGAACCTTTATTATGATAACATTCTTCAACCAACTTTTGCTTTATCTATTGCTACTATAAATTCCCCACGTGCATAAAAGTTCTTGCTATCAATTCATGTTTTCATCAAAAGAAATTTCCAAGGTCTGCATTGCCAAAATGGTATAGTTCGAGTAGTTAAAAAAGGATTACAAATACTATTCTTTTTGGTTGATTAATATTAAACGAATTTAAATCTTTTATCATAATGAAAATGAGAAAAATTAAGGATATATTTCGAATGCGTTTAAAGTAATTTTTCACATTCTTATAATTTTTATCTTATCTATTGTCTTAAAAATGTAAGTACTCTTACTCTTATTATTCAAAAACTTATTTTTTAAGCTTGTGCAATCATGCACTAATTACCATGGATGGTCTTGTTCCAGAAATCCATGAAATGCCATGCAACTTGTACCTAACATAAATTAAGAATTCAAACTTGGAATATCAAATTATATGTATAGTTTTCTGTTTGAGGAATTCCATAATCTGAGAAGCATAAAACTAAAATAATTACCCTAATTGTTGTTTCTCAGTAGTACACACCGCAAATAGTGCACAAAGTACAAACAGTTGGTTCCACTGGGATTTATTCCTATCTGGTACATAGCCAAACACACTGCATTAAATTTACACTTACTCTCCTTCTATATATATATATATATGGAAGTGATTTTTTTGTGCTTAGGCTTTCATGGTGAAAAGTGAAAATGTTAGTAAAACTGCTAAGATGTTTCGAAGAAGATTTTTTCTTCAGAACAAGTTAAAAGTTTCTCCCAAGAACATGTCCACTATTTCTTCCTCTCCTTGAGTAGCTACTCATCAAAAAGCCATTTCTCCAGCAAAGAAAGAGGCATTTGATTGTTCAAATTTGGCTGATTTTCATCCTGGAAAACCCCATCTTCAGATGTGAAATTCGCAGTAGCCTCGTCCGACTCATCAGAATTGAAGCTAAACAGCGAATCAAATCCCTCTGGGGTTGTTGCACTCAGTGTTCCTTCACTAGGACTAGAACTGGTTCCAACTGAAGGGTTGTTGAAGGAATTTTGAGTACTTCCTGATCCTGTTTGAGATGACTTGGGAGATTTTTTCATCCAGTCTTTGAGTAAACGAGCAATATTTTCTGTACTGGATGCATATGTAGATGTTTGGATTGGAGAAGGCTCTGAATCAGGCAAATTATTGTTGGATTTATAAAGGGATAGAGCCTCACACAAAGCTTGTTTTGCCATATGAATGTCAGTTTGAAGCCTCTTCTCCCACTGTCCTTTAGAGATTGATTCAGAAACTGAGTGCCTTTCTTGGTTATTAGCATCTTCACCTTGTTGAAGCTTGTTGAGTTTCTTTTTCAAGTGAGTGTTCCAGTAATTCTTAATATCATTGTCAGTTCTCTCAGGAAGATAAGAAGCTATGGCAGCCCATCTGCACCCAAACAAACACAACACAACAAACGAATTATTTCCATAATCTCAAAGATAAAATCTAAATGAATAAATTAATTTGTCCTATCTCCAAAAATTTAAGTTCTTAAAGTCCTGGGATTTAAAATATTTATCATAACTTCATATGAGGTGATTCATCACAGAAAATTGAATAAACACTTGGGCTTTTTTTTTTTTTCCCTTCTTGAATTATATAATTGTTCTAACCCTAATTAAAGAAACATAAGATCTTTCGTGACCTAATTTGTGCGCGTGAGTGAAATAATATCATACCGATTTCCAAGAAGATCTTGGAGGTGGATAATCATCTTCTCCTCATGTTCAGTGAAGTTACCCCGCTTGATCCCCGGACGGAGGTAATTAGTCCATCTGAGCCTGCAACTCTTACTGCATCTAAGCAAACCTGATCATCGAAAACCAACAAAGATTAAACTGTAAATGACAAATTAATCGACAAAAAAAAAAAGAGACTGATCTAAACGTGTTATGTGCATTCAAGACTACGGTGATGGAGCCGCAGTATATTCAATGAACCTCATTACTGATCCTAACAACCAAAAACCAAAAAAAATAATAATAATAATAATAAAGAAAATCAAATGATAACAATTTTAGACAAAAAATTACCAGTGTTAGAAGGAATTGCCCTCCAATTCCCAGGTCCATGTTCTTGAATGTAAGTAACCAAGATGATATCTTCTTCCGGAGTCCATGGCCCTTTCTTCACACCAATTTTATCACAGCAAGGTGGTCTACCCATATTGAAATTTTTTTCAAATCAGTCCTTCAGTGGAGACTTTTTTCGGATACAAAGCCCAACTTTTTCTCTCTAGTTTCTGAAGGAGATCATGGTGACTGGTGAGTAGAAAAATAAGCATAGAGACTGGCGTCTAACTCAGGGTACCGGCTTTATCTATGTAGAATGTATAGAGGAGACAACGATGTTGTATCTACATTGACCAATTCATCGAAAATTGAGGGTAAAAAGGGGCATCTCTCTCCATAGAGTCAAAAGTAGACAGCAATTAGCATTTACTCTTATGCTTGCAAAAGTCAGCTGTGTTCAGTGTGCTTTTCCTTCTCTTTCATCTTCACAAACCGCGTGAAATTCATTTGCAACACTTGTTATCTTGTGCTTAAATTTTGGTAATCCAGTTTTAAGTTTTAAGCATTTTCTAGGCTAAATTTAAGTAAAGATTGTGAAAAGTTTCTATTGTACACATTTGTTTGTATGAATTAGGGTGTCAAGTGAGCTGGCTTAGTTTTAGTGTGTGACTGTGATAATAAATGTAAAATTTACACCTATTTCTTATACTTTTGACCCGGATTTCGGGCATTTCAAGTTGGATTTCTAGTGGCTTTGGTGTGTTTTCGAGTGAATCTCAGAATTAAAGGTGTACGGTGAAAGAAAATAATGCGGGAGCATGCTTAAAAGGGGAATGGGTCCAATGGACTGAACTTGATGTTGATTCTCGGGCTTGATTCAGGGTGCAATTGGATGAATTGTATTTTTGTCATCCGCTATAACTTTTGATCGAAGTGATAGCAATAATGAAAGAACATGCTTGAAACGAAGATGGCTCAGCGAACTGGGTTTAGGATGGATTCTTGGACTTGATTTTGGATGGAATAGGGTGGAATGCATTTGTGATGAAGGCAAAATAATAATTCTATTTAATTTCGGGTTTGTCCCGTTTTAGTGAATTGCTAGTTTACTTAGATTGAAAACGAGCCAATAATCACAATTCAGGGCCTTTGACCCTAATGCACGTCTGATTTTGGGCAAATTCCGTCGTTTAGGCCTTCAATTAAGCGTTTTTGCCATTTTTGATAATTTTTGTTTTGGCAATATTTTAATCAACTAAACTCAAATTTGATTTTCGTTTGTTGGGGGATGATCCTGGTGATTAGGAGAATCAAGATCCATCATTATCTCAATTTTTTTCATTTTTGGAAAAATAATATTTTCTCATTATTATGTAATTTTTTTCGAATTTTCTTAGATTTTTCTCTATTTAAACGTTGTAAGCCCTTTGAGACAACTCAATTTTGAATGAAATAAAGTTTTCTTGAATTTCTTTTCGTTGAAATTCTTTTTGTGTAAATTTTTGTTTTTCTTATAATCTTCTCATGCATCAACATGTCACGCAAAAGGTGCAAGTAACACACGGGAAGCTAATAGTTCATGCATGGATTATTAGTAGGTGGAAATAATGGCAGTATTAACTACTCCTTAGCAATCTTCCTTAAATGTCAACATATTTATTATGCATCTTAATCATGTGACATCTAACTAATTCTCAACACAGGTTCATTGAATCGTTCCAAAAGGATGTCAACATTAATTTGTTTATTTATAGCCACGNGTGAGATTTTTGTCTTTCCTATAAGTTCCCCCTGCATCAATTTGTCCCATAAACTATACATTTTAGGCAAAGTGATGCTAATACCCTAGATCGAGAAATGAAGCATTATGAGTGAGTGGATAATTAGAAGTAGAGAATTACAATGAAGAAGCAACATCATGAAATTAATTAACTGGTTTAGTTTGACATTATACACGTGTCAACTCAGTTCCATGCAATAAAAGTTTCTATCGCATATATTTGATCAAGTCACGTTGACCAACCATTTATCCTAACAAAATTCTAAAAAAAATCAAATCACTATTTCAAAGTCCCCAACATCAAGAAAATTGGAGACTAATCACTATCTAAATTCGATAGAAAAATTTGTTCACATCAAGCATAAACCATAAATAACTCGTGTGATTTTCAAGTAGACTCACAATCTAACTCGAGTTAGATTATAGTGATCATGAATTGCTAAAACCCTTAAAAGCGTGAATAAGTAATTTTACTGGGGGTGCTAAACCTTATATCGAATATGATGGTTAATTCTATTCATTTTTAACTCCAATTTCTTCAATCTTATAGTTGAATAGCCAACCCTATTTCAGAACTCTTGATCACACTCAAAATTTCTTTTAGCTCCACATGTTTAGTACGCTAAAATCATATGATTCAGAAAGAAAGATTTTTTTTCCATTTCTATTAAATCGCCTTAATATATATAGAAGATATTTAAAGCAATTTAACCCCACAAAAAAGTATTGATTAGTGGAGTTGTGGACTACAAAAGGCAGTGGACAGTGTATTAATAAGGAATTATATTGATTGGCTTATTTGTCACACTCATATTTATTGAGTTTGAAGGAAATGAAATAGGCATCCATCGACTTCAGTCAGCTTAGGTAAGACAAATTGTGCATATCATTTAATTGATTAAGATACACCATAATTTTTGTTAGTTGAACCACATTTCTATTATAATGAAGGTCATCGATCTTTGTTCATTGTCGTATTTAGGTCCCTCAACCTTTTTTCGTTGCATTTTTATTTTTAATCTTTAATTAATTAACACAAATTGTCATCAATCCGTGTAAAGTATTTTATCTAACTTTTATATTATATGTTATTGCTTATTTAAAAATATGATGGACAAATAATACCGTTTTACTCCCTGATAAGGAAAACGGTCATCAAGGATATGTCTGTTAACTAATAGAAAGTTGAAGACAAGTCTGCAAAGAAAAAACTGAATACATAAGTAAAAATTGAAGTTTTCTAGGTTAAATAAAACGTAGTATAACCAACAAAATTTGCCGTGTGAATAGGCTTGTGTTAAATGCAAATGATACATATAGCCTAGAAATTGCCAAAAGTCCAAAAATGCCCGTTTTGCAACTTCTAAAATTTCACTCTAGTCATTTTCTAGGTCAAAAATTGTTTCCTTAGGTCCCTGAAAACCCAAAAAACTGTAAAGTAACTGCTCAAAACTTTTTAGACTTCATGAATAAGTCACGTCATAATATATATGAAGTTAAGGATAATATACTTGTCCTTGTCAATCGCTTGCTTGCATTTCTTAGCCATCGTACCAACTCCACTAATTTCGACCCTACAAGAACTCTCGTGTTCATGAAATACTCACGAATTTCATATCTTGAACAAGTTGCTATGCTTCGACAAGGTTAGTATCCACTTTAATGAGTAAAAGATAATTATAATTACATATCTCATTCGGTCCTTGATAAGTAGTAAGTTTTGGAAAACTAGATAATATAAAACAAATTTTTTAAATTATTAAATTGCCAAAATAATCTTTATTTCCATATATATAACTTTCATAAATAGAAGTGCATATGATGGTTGAATGCTGCAATAGAAGATTGTGGGATCACAAGAAAATGTTCAAACAGATATCATCATTTATGTTTTTATCTTATTATTCGACGTTACAGTACCCTATTTTTGACTATTTCTTATTTAATCTTTCAAAGAATAAGGACGAATTTTGGGTACTCCAACAATAAATATTATCTCTAGAAAGTTGTTCTAAGGAGACTAAAATTTATTGCAGATTAGGTTTACAGCTTTGGATCTTAGTATATAAATATTACATCTAGCCCTTGTTGGAGATCAATTTTTGGGAAAAATATGTTTTGGAATGGTGAATTTTTGAAAAAATTTGGGGTTAAAAAATAGAATTTTTTTTTTTTAATTTACGTGTAAAATTAATATATGGAAGAATGTGTGGTTAAAAATGAGACTCAAACGGGGGTATATTCAATATCTTGAATAGTGAGTAAATTATCGAGCCATACAAAATGTGATGGGTTTATTGAAAAATTTTGTAACACAACCCCTATTCTTTGAATGTGCTCCAACTATCAGCAAACAGAAATAAAAGAATTTGAAAAAAAAAACCTCCTTAGATCACTTAAATTTAAATTTTCGTAAGTTTTAATTTCATTGATCGAGCATTAATTTTATTTTTTCTTTTCAAAAATCATGTGGTAACATGAATATATATGCGTATACTACTTAGACACAATTAGATTATGTTACATTCAGACATCATATTAAGTCATAATCGTACAATTTATAGGTGACAATAATTTATTTGAATAGGCCACAATCACATGTCATCTGATTTTTAAAAGTTCTTTTTAATTTTGTTATTTTTAAAATATAATTCTTAAATTATTGTACTTACAAAATTTTCCCATTTATAACTGTTTTTGGACTTGCCTCTAGTTTGGGCTTGGGGCATATGAATACATGTACCCTCCTTTTGGAGTAGGCCCATAACCTTGTTAGCCTTCTGTAATTGGGCGACATTACTGGGCATGACTAGGTACTTCTGGCCACAGATCGTTACTAGGCCCTCCCATTCGCAATCAGGGCCCCCTTGTGCCCAACCTTCAATGCCCATTGAGCCCAATTCATTTATCGTTATATTCAGCCCAACACTTAACAATGCGATAGAAAATCACGAGCAGAAATCCTGTCATTGTCACATTAGCGAAGGTAAAAATGAATAACGTTATTCATCTCTAGTTCTCTACTGGGGCGTACGTAGCAATAGAGTAACTGCTACATTATCTATAAATAAAATGCATTTCAACTTTATTGGACAATAAGACAATGACACATTGCCACGTAGATTGGTGATAAACTCCCGAACAAATGAATACAATTTTAGTCAAGTCCAAAGATATTTTGCAAATTTTAAACTATTTATATTTAATATTATTAACTAAATATCTATTCATAATTTTGTTTATGTTATAAATTAACAACAAAATTTCTCATTAGAAAATTTTGATAATTGAAAGCCATTGATGAATCGAGGGTTTTAAGCGACTCCCTAACTCGCCTAATACTTAAACGCGGACTCTGTTAACAATTTAAATTT